TTATGTGTTTTACTCAGTTATATTGCTATTATGTGTGCATGATGTAAGCTACAACTAAAAAAGGCAGCAAGTGTTAATTTCCAATATAAATGTAATTTGCCTTTACCATTAGGCATATATCTCACTCAAACCCATGTTGTAGCTGTAGACAAGGTATTATACTAAAACTAGCATAAGTACTGTCTTCACTTTGGACGTAATGGCTTTACTTATGTGTCTTTATTGTTATTACTGTTAATGTCATTATTTTCATTATCGTTAACATAGTTTTTGGGTGGTTGGACATCATCATGATTCAGAGAAAAAGATAATTGTGTATATATAGTTAAGCCTTTAAAACTTATTCCAAATATCATTTGTTAAACTTGGTAACTGGTATGAAAATCAAAGCTAATATTACTCTTGTAATAGAAGCCATCCATTCGAGCAAGGTCTTGCTTTCAAGGAGACAATACTTTGTTCTGAATTACTCATGCATTCTGTTAATAAGATCACTCTATTCTATAAGGAATTTAACATATTTCTTCTGTGTTACTAATTCTAAAACTTATTAGTTAAAAAGTTTCATTATGCCATGGGCTAGACACATACAAACTCACTGATTAGCATTTATAGCTTATGATTGCTCAAGATTCCCTAAGAGCCACCTGAAACAGTAGCTATAATTAGCCAATGAAGATCTGATGCCATAAGTGATTTTGGGGGGAGCAGGGTCATAAGGCGGGGATCTAGTGCTGGAAATAACATTCGTGTATACGTAGCTAAGCCCGAGTTAAGGCGCCATAGGCGGGCCATGACAGGCTATCATAGGACAGTCGAGGCCCCCAGCGCACCTTAACTTTAAGGCTCTTTTCAGGATCAGGTCCCAGTATTATAGTGAATTTATTCTAAAGATCTGATCATACTTTCTATGAATTCCTTAATAAACAATAAATAATACATTCAATAATTTTCAGGTGATTGAATTCTTCATGAAAAGAATACCATGACTCCAATGCAAGAAATATTCACTACATGAATTTATTTTTTAAACTTCAAATTTGCATACACACACTACACACATCTACATATACATACACATGCACACATACAAACACACAAATTTACACACACATCTAACTTACCAACTTTGTGTGGCAGTTCATGGCATAAAACTGCAATAGAGGTTGCCACGCCCCCTGTCACACTAGTTCCGAAAGCTGCCCCAATTGCCATGCCATCTAGGAACGTGTGCATTGCATCACCTACTAAGATCATAGCTCGGAGAGAATCTTTTCGACCTATTTGGAGGAAAAGGAGGAATATAGAAAAATGTAAAGTTATGATTCAGAATGAATGATACTTCAAAGCAAGAAATGTAATTCAGAATCCTGAAAATTGAATCTTACCTTTTATCAGACCAAACAATGAGCTCTCAAATACAGTTTATTTACTATTTAAATTCAGTGTATTGTCAAAATATAAGGACGAAAACAAAATATTCAAGAGCACTCATTCACCTGTCACATGAGAATGGCCATGGTGAGAATGACCATGATGGCCAACATGGTATTCCTGTAAGACCATGTTGAAGCTGGAGCTGTTTTGTCGAAGGACTTTTGGCCTCCCAGATGATGGGGTGTCCAGAATTAGGGAGAGTTCTCTTCCCTGCAATGGAATTAAGATTAACTGGAAGTCCTTTGATTAATTCCTCACCAAAAAATAGCATAAAACAAAGATTTAAATATAATATACTTTCCTCTTTAAAAATCAAGAAAGACAAAAAATTCCTTGTTCTGGAGAGAGATTTAAACTTATCTCAAAATATCTCTTTTCCATCAAATGCCTAAAGCCAAAATTTTTGTGGTATTGGAATTTATTATGAGATATTTCCTCAAGTAATGTAACATTGTAATTTTGATCTAAACCTGATGAGTTCATTCAGCATTATCCAACTTGCTAAAGACCCCCAATGCTTAGCAATCTTAGTACAGAATACAGCTAACCTCCATTTTTTTACAAAAAAGTAAAAAATACACACTATCTCTGACTTATCAGCTGGTGTCGTGACCAGGCTCTCCTTTTCTGATGCACTGCAAGCTAACTTCTCCTTCTCTGCGCACATTGCCACGTGTTTGTCAATGGATGCCACCTCAGAATCCCTGTCACCTGATGAGACCAGGCCCTGCTTCTCAGGAAGGGTTGGCTGTTGGTCATCTCCGAATCGGCTTCTGTTCGGACCGTTGTTTCCATTGGCATCACTACTTGGACTCACATTTGAGCTGCAACCCTCAAAACAGTTCTGGGCTTCTAGTGCTGCGAAAATTGAGGAAAAAGGTTGGAGTACCTTTAAGAGAATACCTGTGGTATGTATCACTTTAAACTATGTGCATATGATCAATTCAGATATTTTTTTTCTCTACAAATGTTGATTTCAAAATTATTCTTTACAAATCTTTCATATTCTTTATTACTTTGATAAAACAATAGTTATCTAAAGTCCAATGCATCTCATATTTCTTTAAGAAATAAAATAACATATCACAATATCTGAAAACAAACATTTTCTAATTCTTTGCAATTAGTATGAAACCATACTACAAAATATTCACAATCAATATGTTGTCTTTCACACAGTATAAAGAACAAGTAGCTGTTGTTACCTTCAGTTTCATTACAAAGAAACTAACAATAAATTTATAAACAGTGATAATCAATCTGTAATGAGAGGCAAGTAGCTATCTATTAACATAATAACAGCAAAAATAGACAACTTACTCATGGTACTTTCTGCATAGATAAAGGAATTGTGTTTGGAATGTTTTGATAACTTCTCTCCAATCTTGTCTGTTATCTGACTGGCCGAATCTTCAAGAGTTGTAGTTGTACCAACTGTTTCTTTGTCTATGTCCTCCTGAGGTTAACACAAAATACAGTTACATATACATCATATGATATGAAATTAATTGCATAACAAATATATAATAAATAGTGTACCAAATTCTCAAAGAAATTAATTGTATATATACATACACCTTTACAACAAAAATAAAGACTAGTGTTCAGTACAACTGAAAATAAATTGAGATACACCGACTTCCTACCTGCTTCACACTCCCACCCTCACTCACTCAACCACTGATTCATTAATTCACTAATTATCAATACAATTAGTTATTTCCTCCCTCCCTCACTCAGTCCTTCTCTTGACCCCTTTCCTCCTCTGCATACAGTCATTCCCTCACTCCTTCCTTCCTTCTCCCATCCCCTTTCTTTCCCTCGTACCACCCATTCATCTCCCGTCCATCCCTCATTTGCTCATTCTCTCAACTATCCAGTTTCACTCCTCTACCTACCAGGCCACCCAACCAACTCACCTTACTCTTGCTGAGATCAAGCCCCAAGCCATGACTATGCCCATGGCCATGGCCGTGTCCACAGAAGAGGTTGTGACAGCGCTCCAGGAACAGGAAGATGACGATGCCACCAAGGGCAGTGAAGCCGTAGAAGGAATGCAAGAGGGTAGGGTTGCTACCTCGGGGTGCTTCCATGCTGATGGCCTGGGGTTAGAATGGGTAATAATGTTTGATATTTAATAATGCTCTCATAATCATATAATAATGATATTTAGACTATGTTGATTGGTTGAATTAATTCAGAAGATAGGTGGTGGACGTTATGAAAGAATTAAGAGGAAGAGGAAAAGGGGGAGAAGGAGGAAAAGGAGGAGGAGGAAGAGAACAAGGAGGAAGAGGAGGAGGAGGAGGAGGAGGAGGAGGAGGAGGAGGAAGGAGGAGGAGGAGGAGGAGGAGGAGGAGGAGGAGGAGGAGGAGGAGGAGGAGGAGGAGGAGGAGGAGGAGGAGGAGGAGGAGGAGGAGGAGGAGGAGAGGAGGAGGAGAGGAGGAGGAGGAGAGGACCTTCAACAACAACAGTAGCAACAATAACAAATGGACAATAGATGATCCAGAAAAGTTGCAAGAAATGTTTTGTTTCTTTAAAGGAAAAAAGTCAACAGAGAAAAGAGAAAGAAGAAAGAACAAAAGAAGAAACAAGATGGAGACTGAACCAATTAACTTTAATAACCAAATGGAAAATCAGTTTACCATCAAAATATATGACAACATTTGCCTAAATCAAACATCTCATTACCACAAATATTGAAAAGTGATTTACCAAGATATATATGATTAAATATTAAGTGACACCATTTCTCCTAATGAAGTCTCTGATTATTATAAAAAATATTTTCAATATCTTTCTTATCTTTACGCTGAAAATCTCTGCCATAAAATTAGATATAATCAAATTTTTGATATACATAATCAAAATGAACCTAGAGGGGGAGGGGGGAGGGAGAGGGTAAGGGAGAAGAGAGGAGGAGAAGGGGGGAGGAAGGGGAGGGGGGAGAAGGGGGAGGGGGAGGGGGAGGAGGAGGAGAGGGGGAGGGGGGGAGAGGAGGAGGAGGAGGGGAAGGGGGAGGAGGAGGAGGAGAAAGGGGGAGAGGGGGAGGGGGAGGGGGAGGGGGGGAGAGGGAGAGGGGAGAGAGGGAGAGGGGAGGGATGGGGAAGGAGGAGGAGGAGGAAGGGTGGAAAGGAGAAGGAGAGGGAGAGAAAGAGAGATATCAACATCTTCCAACTTACATGCGGCAGAAGATGAATCAAGGCGTCTCCAGCCAGGGTACCAACAGCCAGGGCGAGGAGGAAGTGGTTCACCTGATCATAGTACTGGCTCCTTTCAGGGCTGGATCAACATGATGCACGCGAAGGCCCACTAAGCCGATGACAACCATGCTGGTGATCGCGCCAATCCAGTTGTCTGGGGTGGTATGATGATGATGAAGGAATGAATATCCTTTAAAAATTTGTTAGTAACTTATGTATAATAACTATACCATTCATTTGATGACCATTAATCCCTAAAGGGTGGTACACTTTGGAGCTTTGTTTGCACAAATGATTGAGGGTAAACACATCTCTTAGACACTTTAATATACAAAGATTTCAAATCAAACTTTTCTTATC